ACTGCGAAGATGTGACTGAAAGTATGTGCAACAGTGATCCACCACCATACAGATTAGTGCGAGAAGCGTGCCCGAAAACATGTCATTTCTGCGAGCCCGAGCTAGTTCCAAGGAACTAAGCTCAATTCAAATGTGGAATTTCATGAGCTGGATTTCGCCTTATGATGCAATATCAATAAATCTTTTCTACTCCGTAGTTGCATTACAGTTGTAAACAGCAAGGGGAGGTTAATCTCAGGGTTTTGAATACCGACAGCTTCTCTGCTGAGGAAATCAAACTCGCTCCAAAATTCCTACTCGTAGGTCTGTCCAGAATATGTGCTTGTCTAATTGAAGATGGCATCCAAGCTTGTTCGTTGTATGGGGATTCAAAAGGGTGAGGTTTTATTAGTTGGGAAAAGCTTAGTGTCGATGTTCTAGTTGAAATACGCTGAAGGACAGTCGTCTCTCTAGAATACTCATAGGTCACTCATCTATGCCTACAAATTGGCTAGTATCTTACCATGCCAGAGCTTTCTTCGAAGTCTCTCCAGCTAGTTACGGTTCCTGAATGCAATGTAACTTTAAATGCTGGTCATTCGTGGTAGCTACTTACAATTAGGTGGTAAACAATCACTAGTTTGAATTGGAGCATAAAGTGCTTGAAATCAATCGGTTATAGAATTTTTTTTACCCTCACCTGTTCCTTTTGCTGAAGCTCTCTGACTTTTCGAGAAATCATTCAAATATCCAATTCTGGTGTTCCTCTCTACCCGCATCCGTTCACAATAACAAGGATCAGGTTGTAACCACTCGATGATGCCCACCTGTATGAAAAACATTGCATTGTGTAGGAAGTGGCACGATTTCTCGCAGAGGGCCGTACTTGCTGCTCCTATCCGGAAGAACCTGGGTTCGATTTCTCCATATGAGCAGTTTTGCGTTGCTTTAGCAGTTAGGCTCACAGGCTTATAATCCATCAGAGATGATGACTGTAGTTGTAGAGAGTGATGACTTACTTACTGGCCCACCCCCAAAATGCCTATGCCTCCTGTGGCTGTCACAAACGCTTTTCGGAATAGGATCCAAACGGATGATGGGCTAGCTGGTGAAGTTTGCTTTTTTTAGCGACTCTGACTTGAGGCTTTCACTGCTTCTCTAGCACGAGAGATTCTATGTGGTAATTTAGTACTGATAGTGATACTACCCTAGATATTCAAGAGGGCTCCTGAAAGTTCCTACTCAACACTACAAAATTGCATTTCTATTAAAAACCTCTTTAACATGAGATTCGATCTGAGGAATCATAGGGTGGGAACAACGATACGCAAGCAACGGCGGAGTTCAATCCAGTCGATAAACAGCTGTACTAATTTTAGAGGCCCAAGCATTCTCATTTTGCAGTGATAGCGCAGGACCAGAAACGTCGGAGCTCCTCCTCCTCTCATCTTATCGCAGCTGACGTTTATCGGTCCTCTCTTCCTCAGCGATTATTGAGCGAGAGAGAACAAGTTCGTGAGATGCGGAAAATAGTTTTGGAGGGCAGACCGTATAGAACACTACCACCACCTCGCAACAAACTAATAGAAGAGACAATGCAGTATAAATACAGGGTGTCCCAAAATTATTTGCGCCGATTTATAGCAATATATTTGAAACTTCTCAACTGCGAAAGACGATGGAATTTCTATGCACGCTAGCTAACACTATGTGCTACAACATGCTAAAGTCGCATTTCAAAATAACCTCCGTGAGCGCGAATAGAAGTCAAAGTTTGCTTTCGACTTGATTGCATGTGGCACGCAGGTATCCTTCTCCATTTCTTCCCAGCCGTCCTCCAGCTTTTGCATTCTAGGACTCCAAACTGGGACTGCGAACTCGACAAGTCCTCTTCTAAACAGGAACCATTCGTGGGATTCAAGTGAGTCAAGTTCTGGAAAATAGGATGACCAATCCTCTTCACCAATGAAGTCGGGCAGCTGTCGTCGGCACCACTCGCGGGCAAGCTTGGTTCTGTGGGCTGGAGTAGCGTCCTGCTGGAAGGACTATGAGATGTTTCAGAAAACGTAGTTGGATCAATGTTTTATTCACTTCCATTAGTACGCCGTTTGAGTACTGGTCTTGGTCAATTTTCACGCCTGCACCGAAGAAACCACGAGCGGCTCACCCTTGTCAGTGATTTCCTCGAAAAACATCATTTTACTGTCCTGATAACAAACTTTTTGTGAGATATTACACGCTGGATGTTTCCTCCCGGAACGCGAACGTTTTGGTTGTTGAGGGATGGTTTTATCGTAAAAAATTTTTTGATCAGAGAAAACGACGAAGGCTTGCGTGTCATCACTCAAGTGGGTCTGCGACTTTCTGCATTTTTTGGCCCTGCAGAATCTATTGAGATCGGGATTGGAGCATACGATAGGAATGGTAGTGAGGCTTCTGCATGACATTCTTCCATCGCGATAACTCCTGAAAGCCGCGCCCGTTGACTTCCTTTTGATGGGTCACCTAGGATCCCGACCGATTGGCATAAGAACCATTCTAATATTCCTATCTTTAGAAACATTCTACCTTTCTATCTTCCCTGGTTTGTCTCAGATTCAATCTTCTTTTCTATATCGTTTGTTAGCCTCTTGAACGGTTATTAGAAAAATCCCAGAGAATTTCATAACGCCCTTCCACTTCTCGCGCGTCAATGATTGCAAGTGGCATTGAATGAGCCTCCTCCATCTGAAAGATAATGGGAGTTCCACATCAGCAACCATGCATATTGCAAGGAAACCTTCTTATGCAACTAATTAATAACAGGTAATGTGAATTTTATAGATTATTTCTACCTTGAAAATTACTGAACTTTGGCGCAAATAATTTTGGGACACCCTGTATATCCGAGAACTGTCAGTATGACCGTACCTTTTTGCGAAATCGTAGTCGTTCAGAGGAACCGAACGTTTGTCTAATCGTTGAAGGGCATTCATACTCAGCGCTGCTCAGCGAGAATTCAAACGGATAGTTCAGTCCTAAAAAGCCCTTTAATTAGGCTTCCTAAATTGTGTTGTGAATCCTCTCTGACGAACTTCACTCTGAGGTTTGACACAAAATGGTCGCTTCACCATAAGGCGACGATGCCTTCATTTGTAGCTACATAACGGACACCTACTATCGGTACAACCCACAAAAAATTGCTCTGATGAACAGCGTTCAACAAAAACTTCCTCTATACCCTTCTCACGCGCACTATCTTTTGCTATTCATCAACTGCATGGCTTTGAGTAAGAGGGGTCAGAGAGAAGTGCGACGATATTTATGTGGGTCCGGTACGGTCTGAGCCAGTGCTGAAAATCGTTCGCATGAGTGGGGTATAAGTCAAATCGTGCGTCCTAGAATGTGCGCGGCAAAGTTCGTAACGGTTTGAACGAACTCAACCCCCCCCATCATTGGGGCCCGAATTCGCAGTAAATTTGATTAGAAGGATAATCTGATCCTGCTAAACTAGTCTACTTGAAGTTTGTTCCCCGAAAACTGGCGACAGAGTCGTTCAAATCGTCACGAACTTCGCCGCACAATTAGCCGCGCGCGTCCTCGGACGCACGACTTGACCATCCCCCGCTTGAGTGAGATGCGGCTACTTTTTTTGAAAATCTTCCGATACTACAGCGAGGCTGAGTTTCAACCAGGTTGGCGATGGTCAGGAAAATCACCAACTTCCTACATTCGATGAGAAGTGAAAAGCAGGCGAATTATAGTTCCGGTCTCATTGAAGAGATAAAAGCATTACGATGAATTCTGTTGGGCATAATAACTGAATCTTCCTTAGTTGTTTATACAACACTCTATTCGAGTCCCCGGAAAGAATACATCATTGTTAGTTTTCAGCTGCTACCCACACACTTTTTTCTTCACTTCGCATCCCATATCCTCACTTATTTACATTCTTGTGAAAAGGTCGTCATTTTACGTGAGAAACTGTAAAAGTGAGAAAGTGTATACAAAAGAGAAAGGTCCGTCCATCTCTGGCTTCCATCACTGCAACTGTAGACATGCCAAAAATGATAGGAGGATTTCTTAGGCATTTTTTCACAACGCCCACCTTGTCCCATGCTGAAATGAGAACAAGGGTTGTTCCTCATATGACAAGATGTTGAGTGTTCCTTAGCGATATTGAGAAGTTTAGAATTCTCAAAAGAATATAAAGGATAGAATTGAGCGTCAATGGATCCCATCAGAAGGATGCACCCACGCATTCGACTTCCATTCGGAATCGTAGTGGCGTCATGAATGCGTATGTGGCCTATGCAATGACTTGCGGTGACCAGCCGAGCCGATGTACAAGTCAGTGCTTTTATCCTCTCAGACGAGTGCGAAATTAAATAACCGACCTCGGAGGGATGGAACGCTTTGTTGGCCCAGGCGAATATTGGTCCCGTGACCGTGCGTGTGTGAAGTGAGCCACTTGCCACTACACCACTCCCACCGTCCAAACAAATATAATATGCATAAACGTGGCCTTGCCAAGAGCCTTCATGTTCGCCAACATAATTCCAATTCTGTAACTTCGAAAAGCTACAATGAGTCTGTTAGCCTTTGAAATCACGTTAACCAGTGTTCAATAGCAGAATCAGAGGAACGGCTCTTGAATGGGGGGCACATGAGGTTCTTTACAGTGCCTGCTTTTTTCTACAGCAGTTGATACTTTCTCAAACCTTCGCTATCATGTAAACCACTTTTTCAATAGAGTTTAGCAATTTCGCCTATTCTGAGAATGACGGCTCTTGAAATTCCTTTGTAAAGAGTTGTTCACAGCTCTCTCAGGTAGAGTAAACCTCTAGTAGCAGTTCGAAACAAATTTTGCTGTTTCCTCTCTGACATATAAGTGATTACAAAAAGGCACTATGGTATTATAATTCGACCGAGTTGGTAATGTAGGTGAAAGAAAACGCGATTGTCTATGTATACCGTTCCAATGTACACATTTCAAGCTGTTTTATTAGCAGACTTACTGTGACAACCTTCTACATTCAACCATGTGGTTCTACTACTTCATCTGTCTATCAGTGGTGCTCAGTTTCCATGATGGAGTCGTCGATGCCGGTCTATCGTTGTTCAGTAAAAAAAATGAACCTGTAAGTTGACAATGGTACCATTCTTCATGCTCATAGTGTTCAACAATTTCTTTTTCAGAATGCACAGAAGTGCGAAGATTCAAAAACTTTCGACTGCACGTCCCTGACTCCTTCTCGCTGCTTTAATGGTATATTCCCGGAAGAAATGATCAGAACGTGCCCGAAAACATGTAATGTATGCAAAGAACTGGGTCTAGTCGAATGAAATAACGCGAATACTCCTTGATGCAAGATCAATAAATATTTTTTTTCTAAAATTCCGTGGGTTAACCCCATACGTAGCAGCTGTAAACAACAGCAGTAAACAAAAGAAAACATGGTACATGCTGAGGAAATCAATTTATCCCTTAGATTTTCGTGATTCCAATCAGATGAATGGCATGACTCAGCTTAAATTCGTCTATTATTGCATGGCTCTTTACCTCACCACCAATAGGGCCAGTCCTTTCATAATAGCCATATTAACGCTAAGTAGCTCATTGAAATTGTGTGTAGAATCCGGGTGTGGGTATTTCTCCTTGATATCGCGCCTTGTTCTTCGCATCCGATCGTGCATTATGAAGGGAAAGGTGTTATCCAGGTGGAAGGATATGGTAGTCGACCCGGGAATGTCTGCCGCCTGCCGTGGGAGTTCCACGAAATGTACTGCCACCCTCAAAATCCCAATAGTTGTCAATTCCATAGCAGAATTGCTTGTACTCGAGTTCTCTCAGGTCGTCTGGGTCACTGTTCGAATTTCTTGATTTTTCAACAGTCGACCTTGCATAAACCAAATCAAGTCAAGCTGAAAGATTAAAAATGCTCATCGCAGATCCACACAATTCTGGTGAGTTATGCTACTTACAACGATTAATCGGACCTCACTTCCCTATTCGACAATTCATCTGATCCCTCTCGTCATCCTCTCCTCTAAGGATGCCTGCAACTGTTCATAATGTAGTTTCAAGCCAGCTTTATTCGTGACATCTTCAATGTATAGTCAGTATGTTCTTTGAGGGTACAGACATTAGGCATCCTGGAGAAGACTTCACCAAAAAGGGGTCTGTGCGCGGCAAAGACGGCATGCATATGATAGAACGGTGCTTGCTGGCGAAAAACTGAATCTATTTGAGGTGGAGATTCTACAAGAATCGGTTTTGAGAACAGAATATTGAAGAATCGCTCAAGTACCGGAGGTACGATACATGGCACCGCGATAGAGAGCTGCCTAAGAACGGCGTTCAGACTTTAAAAATCTAGTCGCGAAATCGTTTCTAGGTAGTAGTACGCTTCAGTTGATGTGATGTCGAAGAACTGTGAGAAACTAGACGAGATACCTATACTAGTATTATATCAATAATAACAGTGTTATTAGAGTATGATCAATGGACATAGTATGAAAACCAAAATTTACCGGCCAAATTGCTTATTTCGCTCTTCTCGAACTTTCCCTAAAAACTACAGAAAAATCTCGGCTGTCTACAGCCACTTTATTGTTCTTCGGTTCTTTTTAGTTTGAGAGAAGAGTAGAAATTTCCTCAAATCTTCAGAGAGTAAACGAAGTTGATGCCCACTTGAGCATTAAACGTCTACTGTGCCATAGGTAACTAATAAGCTTTCGAATTCGTGATCCGATGTGGTAGAGTTATGAGGATCCNTAACTCTCACCTTCTGGATCGATTCCCGGCATCGGAATTTGTTTTGGTATGTTGTCAATACTTATTAAAATGTCCATCAGTATTGTGCATCAAAGGTGGTGTATACTGCTGTAGACAGTGAGTGATAAGTAAGTTATGCACCTGCACACCTCCGCTGTGGTTGGTGTGCCCGTTCTTCGTCATGCTGTCCCACTGATTCCTCGGATTGGATTCAGGCTGATCCTGTGGTCGCTTGCACTGTTTCCCCTCTCTATCGAGGCCACATGAGACAGACAACGAACCCTTTCAATGCACTCGCTGCTTCTTTACGCCTACCGCTTCTTTGTGGTAATTTCAACGAGTACTAACTAGTGCAGCCATCCAGTAAAGCCCTACTGCATCGAAGTTCCCATCGTTACTGTACATCATCAGCCCTGTATAGCCCACCTGTCGTACCAGTGCAAATTGTCCACTGCGAGAGGAAAAGTACATAAAGTAATGTAATGGAGTGATGCAAAGTGCAAAAGTACTGAAGTAAAGAAAAGTTCTACCCAGTGGAGCAAAGCCATCAGGTTTACCCATTTGTTTCATGTTTCCAGGTTCAAACTCTCGTCGAAACCTCGAAGGCATCCATATTAGGCGTTAAACAGCTTGATAGGATCGGGGTCAGGCACCTACCCCTTATCTTCAACCGGATTCCTCATTAATAACCTTACTTTCAATCTTCTCGTCGTTCTTCGCCATCTTTAGGCCGACAAAGGGAAGAATCTCACTTCTTGAAAATTTCTTCTTGGGTACAGTTCTCGAATGACATCCAGAAGGATTATTCAGATGCTCCAGATGCTTATTCTCAAACGAAAAGTAACAGAAAGGTGAGCGGCACTGACGGCTGTTTGCTTCACGCCCAAAGCTGCTCAAAAGAAATGATAGTGTACAAACAGCAGAGCACAATGCGGTGCAACCGTACACATCGCTTCGGAAGTGATCATTGTAGCAGATCACTGAGTCGGTAAAGGAAGAATTGCCGGAAGAGGAGGGTCGGTGCTATGGCTCACTAAATCAATTACCAAAAGTTGGGCGCCACTGAAAGTCTAATGATTGAATATTCTGGAGAACCGAGTTCACTTTCAACAGCAATTAGGGACGGGCCATAGGTTTCGAGTCGCTATATACGGAATTCAAGCATTTTTTTTGGTAAAGGTCTATTGATATCGTGATTCACCAGTTTACCAGTGCCGGATTACTTTGTTGGGAAACCTTCAAAGGGTGGCATTCATACGGACTCACTGAGGATATTCGTGAACAGGCAGCATCGAATTGTGTGAAGCCGTCTGTGGAGAACACTCTAAAGCCTGTCGTAATGTGGTTTGGAATGGGGTCAAAAGGGNTTTTTTTTCATTTCTTTTCTATTTTTTTACAAAATGTTTCAGACTAAAGGACGAAAAGAGCACTGAGTCAAATAATGTTAGAAATATTCAATAGACATTCTCCAGTGATTTATTCAGCAGCCTCCAAGTGCGCGCAGACGGGCTTTGCTTTGCAAATGCAGGCAAGCTTTTTCTCCATATCCAGTCCCATGTCGTTGGATGTTTGCAGGTAATCCTGTGGACACAGCCGTCCATCAGTTTTGGAGAACACCCAGATAATGAGAAGCGAATGTGTACAAAACGAAGGTCTCATATTTTCATGACTCTGTGTCTGCCACAACGAGCATATGAACAAACTTTTTTTTAGAACGAGAAAGACGTTAAATAAAGAGTGCAAGTGTATCTGCATCAGAAAAACTTTGCCCAGACATGACATGCCCTTTATGGGAGTCTTTTACAAAAAGTACTGAAACAAACACTGTTACTGGATGAATCACTATATAAGTCTTGCTCATTGGTGAATAACCATAACGCTTCCTTTTCTTCGTAGTGTACAAGGCACTTTCAGCTTGTGTTTTAACTTCGGTTCACATGTAGATTTCTAGAAACAGGGGGAGGAGCGAGGATTTCATGACTTCCGAGTTGATTTCGGGAAAGCAATTTTAACGAGGGAAAATGGAGCATTCCTGGACGGTCGTTTGTAAGGAATTGTATTATCTATCCATTTTATGTTTGAGAAAAAAGTTTTCTTCACTAATTACCTAATGTTCTGCAGATGGAGTAAAAAATTTTGATATTTCATGCCTAAAAGATCTAACTTTATAAGGTCGAAATCCAACAAAATAATAGATGAAAGATGAAAACTACGTTCACCAGGATCCCATCGCAAAAGCAAAGAAGTTTACTAGGTGATCAGCAACATAGAAGTAATTTTTCTTTACCAGCTCGTTCGTATTACTCTTCGGAATGTTCTTCGATAAACTGCCTGGATAATTTTGAAAGAAAAAAAGAAAGAAAACACGTTTACCTTAATTCACATTAGGAGCTTACACTGAACGAAAATACATATCATCAGTTCAAAATGGTTGCTTGTGAAGTGTAATATGTACATATATGGATCTATACGAATGCATGCAATCCCAAAGTACACTTTCCTAACAATCTCAAGTAAATCAACGCTCAGATCAATTCGACGATGTGGTTCTACTACTTCATTTGCCTCTCTATGATGATCAGCTTTGGCTTCCATGATCGATTCGTCAGCGCTGAAGGTGTTTAGGTAAGTTAGCGTGTCACCTTCATTGTAGAATGTACGACAATTCTATTCCTCAGATGACACAAAATATTTTAGGACTGCAAAGATTTTGATCCTGAATACTGTTAACAAGTGTGGGAAAGCGGTGGCTGCGAACTCGGAATGTGGGCAGAGGATCACAAAGCTATGTGCTCTCGATCATGTGGCGTATGAGGTGTTTTCTTGGATTAGAATATCAAAAGGCTCAGCCTTGATTAGCGTGCGCATAATAAATGAACATTTTTGAAAGTAATCTACAACATGCTTGCAACAGCAGTCAGTAGGTAATGCCAGGTTCTGCCATACAGGTTTCGAATTTCAAAAACAAGATTTTAAAATTTTCCTTCTCCACCAGAAATGTGAACATGACTGATCCCTAAAGNTAAGAACCTGTACGATAATCAATCAACTTGAAGGCCCAGGAAGAGAAGCCATACCAGTCTCTTTCTGGAGACCGACTGGACTTATACAACATGAAATAAATTTCGTCACTCCTGGCAAACTTGCCAACGTTTCTTTGCTCGTCAGTTTTATGACTGTCTAAAAAAAGGCAGCTTCCCTTTGTACATCAACAGCAACTCACTGGTGAAGTTTAAACACAGAAACGAGGGCCGTCACTCTCTTCGACCTCGTTTGTGCTTTTCTTTAAAACTAGCTGGAGGCCTTCCGACTTCTGTACATTCACTTCTGAACCCATCCGCTCCACGTACTCACTAAAACATCTTTCATGGCTTTCATGGTTGTGTGATTTTCGTAAGAATCGCATGATCAGCAGAAAGTTTTGTGGGCTTGAAAGGTGATAAAAAAAAGGTATGGTATAGTGACAACTGACGCCACATCGCGGAGCAGATGGATTTCGATGTAGACGTGTAGAAGTCAGGAAACCTCCTAGCTAGTTTCAAAGGAAAACATTAAACAGGTCGAAGAG